TCTAGGGCCCTGTGCTTTTTAAGTCCAGGACTGGGCACTGACCTAGTGGGTGCACCCAGAGGTGCTCCCATCCACCCAAGGGCTCGAATGCCCAGAAGATCCTTTTTTCCAGAACAGATGGGCCCCACGCCTAGGTGAGGCAGCAGGGATGGGGGCCGGGGAGGCAGCTGCAGCTCATCCCCCACCTTCCCCAGACTTAACACTGCGGTGGGATTTGGAGTGATGGGAAGGTTTTTAAGGGCCAGGGATGGATCTTTTCTAAATGTTATTACTTGTAAATAAAGTCTATTTTTCTCCCTTAAGTGCTGAGCAGTCTTGATCTGTGCAGGAAAAGGGAAATTTCGGCTCTTTAGAGCACATCTTTGTCCCTGCCAAGTTTTCCCAGCTATGTACCTTCTCTCCAATCCTTTCTCCTGGCCTTGTCTTTACATTCTGAGTAACAGTCCCTCTCTTTCCACACTCCCTCTTGGGATGAGCCAAGTTCTGTAAGTGGAAGGACGGCTTAAATGACAGAGCAGATGTCATACCTCCAGTGAAAAATCATTTATGCACACCCATATGTGGGCCCTGCCGGGCATGACAAGGATGCAGCTGTGGATCAGAAGCAGCATTTAGCCCATCCCTTCCCTGCGACAGTCTGTTAGAGGGAGGCCTGAGCTGCAAGAGCGTGTAGACCCCAGGAAAAAGGCGACGACTCAACCAGGCTTGGGAATTCACCTGTCGCGATGACGAGGCAGAGGTGACCTGCTGGAGGGTGGGGCTTCTTGAGTAGAAGGCAGACCGGTCTTCAGCCCAGCCTGGGGAAGTGAAGGTAGACAAGGATCAGGCCCACGGGTGGGGGACATCTCTTGATCACCTTCCTCTAGGCCATGCCTCCCCTGCCTGAGTCCTGAGTTCCACTTGGGGGACAGTGGACAGTAGCGGGAGGCCGCTCTGGGCCGAGCCCACCCTTTGCTCCCCAAACTGCTCCTCCTGTCCGTGGAAACCTTCCCTCAGGTTTCAGGTTTCTCACCCAGAGCTGGGCCAGGATGACATGACGCTGGGCGGTCTGGTCAGGATCAGCAAAGACACAAGAGAAGTTGGTGTTGAGCAGGGTGGGATTCAGCTCCTCTAGCGCCAAGGCCCGCCGCAGCTGGGTGCGTGCACCCTGGTACTCCCTGCTGCAGCAGAGGGCGGAAGGCCATGAGAGAGGACTACAAGAAGCCGCCTCCCCTCCTGCTGGCCTCACTGCTGCACCCCTCACCTGGTACTGCCCTCTCGCAGCCGACCTGGGAGGTGCTCGATGAAGGAACCATTGCCCATCCAGTAGAGGATGCTGAAGGTGGAGCGGCTGCAGGCGGTACAGGACAAGGTCAGCGTTCCATCTAGGGGACACGTGTGGCTGTTAGCTCTTCCACAGGGCACACCCTCCCCTCTGTCATGCTGCCCTGCCTCCCAGGCCCCACAATTCAGGAACCTGGAGTGCTGCTGTGAATACACGCAGGTGGGAAAGTCTGCTAATGGGGAAGTGTGGTTGTCTACAGGGAGACTCAGGGCTGAACAAGAGGAAATCTGGGGACAGGTTCTTGGTTCAGGTGAGCACTCCCTCTGAGCCTGTTTCTTCAGGATGACCTTTTCTAGAGCTCAGCTCTGGTGACTCTAGGAGCCCTGGCCAAGGAGGCAGCAGCAGGAGGCCATTGCTCCTCTGGGGTGGCCAGAGACCAAGGGGGCTGGCAGGGAGGGAGCAGGCTGGGCCTTGGGGCATACTGCAGTCAAGGCTCTAGGAGTCCTCTGACCATCCTTATGGTCCTCTGACCACCCTCCCGCTACTGTCCACTGTCCCCCAAGTGGAACTCAGGACTCAGGCAGGGGAGGCATGGCCTAGAGGAAGGTGATCAAGAGATGTCCCCCACCCGTGGGCCTGATCCTTATCCTTATTCTCTCCATCCCACTGGATAAGGAGCACCTTGGGAGCTGGGCCCTAAACCCACACTCATGATGCTGGGTGGGAGGGAACATGCTAAATGCTCTGGCAAGCTGGCCTAGCTGGTGGGGCTACATGGCAGAAGGTTGGGGTAGGGTGCAGCTCAGGAGTCAACCCCACCCTTGGACCCTCTGTGCCCACAACCCACCCCAGACCACTGTGTTCTTTGGGATCCCATCAAAATTGCTCCTTACTTAGTGGGATTTCCATTTCTGGCCAGGTCACCTCCAATGCTGGGCACCGCTTAGCTCTTGGGAGGCAGGGGTCCTTTTCGACCCCAGTTGAGGCAGTGGCAGTGGCCCGAGGTACAGGTGTGGCTCCAACCAGGTGACAGATCATGTGGGCACACAAAAGCAGGACCAGCAAAGGGCTGCGATCTAAGGGCAGGACAGTCACAGAGGTCAACCGCTGTCTGACTGCCAGGCATGGTCGATATCCCGGCCTGGATGCAACTCTGGCCCAGAGATTCCTGGGCTCGGCCCAGGGCATTGGAGGAGCAGAAGGGGTCCTGAGGCCCTACCCACATCATGGCCCTTTTCTAATGGAGGGCAGGGAGATACTGGAGTGCAGCCAGAACCACAGCACCCAGACAGAGGCTGAAAGCCGTAACACAACAGCAGAATGGAGTACCCCCCGCCCCGCCACTCCCTGGGGGTAAGGCTCAGGGCCACCCGCAGCACTCCCTTCTGTTCTCAGACCTCATCCTGCCCGCCCAGGCCAGCCCCAGGTCCCACCTGGTGTCCAGTTCTGTCCCATGGTCTTGATGGATGTGTCAGGAGCTGGCGTGCCTGGTTCTATTTATCTGTAACAACTTCCTCTCTCGGGCTGGTGGGGGAGGATAACGTCAATCAACTACTTCTCTCAATTTCTCAGTGGCTCGATCCTAGCCATTTCCATGGGCCTGCCCTTCCTGGGGGTTCCACAGCCCGCCCTCGGTCTGAACTCTAACGGGCGGCCAGGTACTGTTGTTTACTTGTTGTTTACTTACGGCAGGCATCCAGCACAGCCTGGGGCTCTTTCAGCACTTGGCAACAAAGCTGAAGACCATCCAGTGACAGTGCTCCCCACACCAGCTCTTAGTATCATTAACCTTATGCTGAGTGTGCCCTAACCCCTTTGTTACAGGGATGGAGAAACGGAACCACACAGGGGCCAGGGACTTACCCCGTCGCAGAGAGAGCAAAGCCTTCTTCTCTGGAGCTGGTTCTGGGAAGGGCAGAATTAGTGAAATCCTTCTGGGAAAGCACTGGTCCCCTCTCCCCTCTATTTCACTTTCGCTTGTCAGCAAGCACTGAGTTACTAACAGAGGTTACACAAGCATGACCCCAGCCTGTACACTGCACCTCTTCTGGAGCTGAAACTCATTCTGGCTGGGAATCTTCCTGCTAACTCCCAGGTTCCTCTACTCTCCCGATTATATCAGACTGAGTCTTTAATGCCTGCTCAGTGTCACCCTCCCAGGGGCACAGATGGAATGAACCTCATGAAAGAGTCTCTCCCAGGTGGATTCTTTCAACCCAGCCCAGGGTCAGGGCTTCGGCGTCCACCTTTGCTCTTCAGAACCACATGTCTCTGTGAGCAGGCCTCACGTTTTTTCTTTCACATTCACACCGCTATTCAAGTGGTCAACTCTTCTAGGCACTGGGGACCCTAAGTTGGATCACTTTGACCATTTCAGTCTCAATGTCACACCAACCTGTCATCCTGGTCATTCTCAGGCTCCCTACTCCCTTCAATCACCGACCCCCGCCCCACCCCACAAAGCCTTGTCTCTTCTCTCATCCCAGCCTCTTGGTCAGAACTACAGGTCTGGGTCCACTAGGAAGACTAGGTTTCTCCCTACCTGGCTCTCAAGAAGCCCAGAACAGCCCTCTTCTTCAGAATCCCTGCTTCTTGAAGCTCTACTCAGTCCAGCTGTGTCCAGCCCCTCTTGGGCCATGCCGCGGGAACTGTGCCGACAGCACTCTTTGGCCTTGTGTGCAGGAACTTCTCAGAGCCAGGCTGAGGCCTTGGAACACGAGCTGGAGTGCTGGCCCTAAAAGGAGGGGAGGGCACTTCCCGGGGAAGAGGAGGAGCAAGCAGCCTAGCGCCAGCTCCAGCAACAGAGCTACAGAAATGCACAGTCTGGTGGCTGACGGGACAAGCGGAGCTGGGGCTGTGGCAGGGTCAGGACTAGGGTGAGGTGTGAGGGAGCGGGGATGCCAAGCTGGAGGAGGCACTCACGATTGGGGTCGTGCTCGTGTCTGTGGAGGCAGAGAGGACCAGGACTGGTGACCCAGGCCACACACAGATCAAGCACGAAGGGTTAAGACCCAAGTGTCCGAGGTTTGTGGTCTCTGTGATCAGGGACCTGGGATGCCAGGGACAGAGCCAGGGAAGCCAGGAGATGGAACTAGGTTTGGCGGATGCATCATAAAACTCCTCCCTGGGAGTGCCAGTATCTCCAGCTGTTAGGCTAGGAGGCAAGGCTGCTTGGGGCTTCTGAGACAGTCTTTTGGGGATGAGATTGGGGGATGGGATGGAGAGGAGACTGGACTCAGAGCAGAACCAAGACAAGAGTTGGGCTGTTGGGAGGACATGGGACTCAGACTTGATGAAGTATGAAAAGAGAGCCTTGGAAAGCCTGGTCTTGGCTTCTCACATGAGCCTGACACATAGAGGGACAAGAGTGAAAGGACATTCCCTGCACCCTTCAACTGGTCCCCATTCCACTCTGAGGACGGGCCCACTGACACAAGCAGTGGGGACCATGCAAAGCCACAGCTGGGTGAGAGAAGCCGAAGCTGAGGGTGGCCCATGAAAAGTGGTGTTGGTAGCAGGCAGGGCACTGACCTCACCTCAGGTGGTAAGGAGAGAGTCACCCAGTGATGCTCCAGGGCCCTTCTGTCACGGGACAGGAGTCTGGCATCCCACCATTCCCACGGATAAGGAGTGGGGCCAACCACCCCTAGGATCCAGCTTTCAAATGGAAACAGCAAAAGGCAGCAAAGGCAAGGCACTCCCGGGGACCCCAGGGAAGAATAAAGCAAGATGGATGTTCAGCTTTCCAACCCAGCTCATGGAGCTTTATTCAGAATGGAGTGACAAGATCCTGCTTGGCTCTTGCTGCACTTGAAGGCAGGCCCCGCTGGGCCACATTCCCTAGGAACCCAGTGCTGAAGGCCCATGTTTGCCCTCCCACTTCCTTCAAAACTCCTAGGGCCAGAGCTAGGGCCTACCTGGAACCTTTTTAGAACCCACACTTGCCTGGATCTTGCCCTCTTCTCTTCATACCCACCATTATTCCTGTGACCAGGCTCAGGCAGGACCCATGAACGTGGAAGTTGACAGAGGGATATTCCCTGGGCTGGGAATCCCCTGGCAGCTTCAAGGGAACACTGTCTGACGATAGGGAGAAGTCCTATCTGTCACAGTTCTACTGCCACACACGAACAGACGCACATGCACACCCTCACGCAGGCTTTCCGGGAAGGAAGTGACGTGGCAGAGTGGCCTTTGGTGCGTGTCACCACTTCCGGGCTGAAGGGTCAGATTGCACAAGAGGCCTTCAATCACTGCTGCCAACAGTAGTTCCCATGGCCCAACTACACACAGAGAGACTCTGGTCTTTGCTGGGGGCATGTTACCCAAACTGCTGCTGCTTTGGGTTTCCCCCAGACAAATCCTCGGTGAACTGTGAGATCCCAGGGCATCCCTCCCTGCAAAAGTCAGGACTAGGCTCCACTTGCATCAACCAGTCAATGGGTCCTGGACAAGGGAAGACAGAGTTGACACAACACCGACTGAGGGGCCCAGAAAGGGAGGAAGGAAGACACCTCACCCCCCATCAGTGTGTATCTGTGGTACCAGGCAGAGCCCATGGGCTCTCCCACACAGAGTAAACCAGGCCGGCACCCCACAGAGGGAAGGAAGGGCGGGGGGCAGGGGTGGGGCGGCTGAGGCTCTCAGCCGGAGATGAGAAGGCTCCTTTAAATCAAAAATGTGGCTCTGCTCCCGCCCTGCTCAAACAAGGAAGGCAAGGCCTGGAAGAGTTGGGGGCAATTCCTATGCTCCACAATAAAAAAGGTTTTAAATATATTCATCAAAATAGTTTTCTTTTAAAAAGCCCCCACTGCTGACAGCCCCACTGGCTGGCTCTCCACCATCTCCCTCCCCAGCCCGGGCACAGCCAGAGGGGTACTGAGTGGCCCAAGTGCCCCTTTTGAGTCTTTCCCACCCAGCTCATCTTGGAGGGCAGGGAGGAGAGTGCCCTGAGGTCCATAGCAGACGGATGCTCTTCTTCCTGACTATTCCAGGCCCAGGACATAGTTGATGCCTTGTACCAGGCCAATGATGACAGGCTGCCAGGCTACCAAATATCGAAGCCAATCCAGCAGTTGCCCGTACATGACGTGAGGCCTCTCCCAGCTGTCAGTGCGTTAAAGAGGCTATGTGTCAGAGCTGCTGAGGCTGGGATCAGGGCTGGGTGAGAGGTTCTGCCTACACTCTCATCTGCTCCACAGAAATCAGCCTGCCTACAAAGAGAGGAAGCCCCCACCAGCCTCTCCATGTTAGAAGGAAGGGCTGAACCCAGAGATTGGGGGAAGGAGGTGAGAAGGGAAGGGTGGAGAAGTGAAACTAAGCTCTCGAAGACCAGCATGTGTAGAGAGCCTTCAATAACACCTTCTTAAAGATGGGCCTGTTGGTGTGAGAGCACACAGTCTGAGACTGCTGTAAATTCATCTGTGCCAACGGCTGCAGGGACGTGGGCAGTGGGATAAGGTAACCTTAAGGGTTCTTGTAATGTCCCAAATGGTAGGTTTTGTAGGTCAAGGAAGGGGCCGAGTCTAGGGGCCAAGGCAGAAGGGAACAGGGAGCAAGAGGCTAGTCACAGGGATAACCCTGGCAGAGGCTCTAAGGAATCCCCACGCACCACCAAACACCAGGCCCTACTGAGGCTGAGCAGCCCTAGAGAGGAGTTCCCTTCCTTTCACTTTCGAACTAAATTGCTGGGCAAGACAGAGAGTCTGGGAATCCAGCTCTGGGGAAAGCACAGATTAAACCTCATGACACTGTGGGGGAACCTTTCCAAAAGCATCAGAAAGAGCAGCCTGGCCCAGTCCCTGGGAACTGTGGGGAAGCCCCAAGCCTCAACCTCACCATGGGGTTACTTACCTGTTCTTGAACTAGACCCTAGAAGAACCAAGCAAGGAACCTTAAGGGGACAGGCCAGAGCCTCTGGTTTGAGGGCTGTGGGAATGTGCCGGGAACTCAGTGGCCCCTGCCCAGCCTAGCTAGTGTCCAGGGGATAGGGAACCCTGCCACTCAGGGCAGCCGGGAGAGGGCAGGGAGAGACCTGGGCCGCGGGATCCCAAGGGTAGTGAAGGGGGGACCAGAGCAGTGGCTGGGCAACTTCCAACAGACAGGTGATGAGGAGCAAGAGGAAGGTGAGGGAGGGCAGAATAGGGAGGGCCGACAGGATACAGAGGAGTAGCTCAGAGGAGCAGTGGTCCCGTGCTGAAAGGGGACAGAACAGCCTTGTACCCTGCGGGCTCTGCACAGGCACACGGCCGGTCTCCAGCCCCACAGGTCACAGGTGAGGCACCACTCATTGGTTATGTTACCTTGAGTAGGTTTTCAACCTCTAAATCATTTCATTTTTAAAATGGAGGATAATATTACTGATGTCATCAAGTCGCTAGAGAATGAAATAATATGGGCAGAGCACTTAACCTAGTGCCAGGCACAGAGGAAGCAAACAGTAAACGGGCTGCTACTGCTACCAATTTACCTTTGAGGGATCTAGAACTATGATGAGAATCTGAGCTGTAAGTCCTACCTTTTCCACCCCCAACTTCCCTCAATCACAAACCAAATAGAACAGTGGGTATGTACCAGGGTAGAGGGTGGAGGGAGGAGGAAAGGCCCCGGGAGGACCCAAATGCAGAGTGACGCTGGCCAGGACTTTCTTCCCATTGCCCATTCCCAAAGGATACGGGTTGCTGAACATCCTCTTGAGGTCTACCTTCTCTTTGCAGTAGGGACACGTCTGCTTCTTTCCCACGATGCACCAGCCACGGATGCAGAACTCATGGAATCTGAGCACCACTGGTCAAGGGAAATGGTGGGCAGCCGGGATGGCACTCGAGCCCCATGCTTGTGGTCAAGGCACCCAAGCACTAGCTCTGAAGAAAAGTTCAAATCCTGCCTTCCCCTCTTTTTAGCTGTATAATCTTGGGCACATCCCTTCTCTCTGACCCTGCCTCCTCACACGTGAAGTGAGGATAATGATCTCCATCTTATAGGGTGTTTATGGGGGAAAACAGAGATAATACGTGGCACAGAACGGGAGCTGAGCAAGCACAGGATACATACTGGAAATGTTATTCAGGAGGACTGGATTCTGACACCGAGGGAACCAGCTAGAGGATGCTCCAACCTCGGGGCAGCGAGTGCAGTTTTGGGCTCCTTTCTGATTCAGCCAGGCTATAAACTGTTTACATAAGCATGGCTCCCAGGTGTGGCAAAGAGGGAAGGAGACCACAGTTTCCACTCCTGGGTGTCAGCTTCCCTGGCAGAGAACATCGCCCAAATGTCTGGCCTCTAGTGACTCTCCCGCACTGAAAGGTCTAGAGAGCATGCCAGGGTCATGGCTGCCCCCTCCCCTCGACCGGAATGTGCATGTGACCGGAGAGATGAGGCCCAAGGGGCTCCAGGCAGGATACACATGATTGCAAGACAGCCTGTATGTGTTCTCGATGATGCCCTCTTCACTGACATCCACAAAGATCTGCTGCCCACACACGGCACACACACTGTCCGAGAGGTGTTTGGTAGGCATGCCCGACTCGCTGTAGAACTGAGAGAGAACAACAGGAGGAAAAGACAGGGAAGGTGTGAGAATCAGCCCAAGCAGGATGATACCACAGAGGCCTATGTCTTCTGAAGAGGAGGCAAAGAGGGAGGGGGAGGCCCCATACTTACAGAACATCTTTGATATGCCAAATCGACCTCATCTTTGCTGGCTAGATGGGTTGGGAAGTCAGATCTAACAGAACCTGAGCCCTGGGCTGGTCAGCATCAGGGACAAGGAGATCAGGAGGTAGAAGGACTCAGGGCCGGTGATCAGGAGCTATGTCAGATAAGCCACTCTGTGGCCAGACTATGCTTTCAATGGAGACGGACAACATCTCTTCTCTAAGATTCAAAACAGTCCGATATCTGGTGCAATGTGGGTTGGGACAAGGGCATTCCCAAACACTTATGGCAGCAGCAAAAGAGGTTCAATCCTTTTGGATAGCATCTGGCATGACGTCTCAAACTGCCATGCCCTCTAACTGTTCATTAATGTCACTTCAAGTAGTTAAAGTAAAAATATCAAAAAAGCCTCATGTATACAGATATTCATTTAAGCACTATTTATAATTAAAGAAGTAAAGAGTTAAGCAATTCCCCCAAAAAGTTAAACAGAATTACCATATGACACAGCAAGTCCATCCTTACATATATTCCCCCAACTCAAGACAACAAAGACTAAACACACACTTGTAAGCCAATACTCGCAGGAGCATTATTCACAACATCCAAAAGGTGGAAATAACCCAAGTGTCCATTAAAAGGTAAGGAGATAAAACAAAACGTGGTATATCCACACAATGGAATATTACTCAGTCATAAAAATCATGAAGCTCTGATACACACTACAATGCATGAACCTTGGAAACAGTAGGCTAAGTGAAATGTCCAACACCAAAGGACAAATATTATATGATTCCATTTGATATGATAAAATACCTACAATAGACAAATTCATAGAGACAAGGAGTAGGTTAAAGGTGGCCAGGGGCTGGAGGAAGGGAATGGGAGTTACTGTTTCATGGGCACAGAGCTTCTGCTTGGGGTGATGAAAAATCTTAGAAACAGTGGTGACAGTTACACAACATTGTGAATGCAACTAATGCACTGAACTGTACATTTAAAAAATGGCTGTGGGGGAGGGCACCTGGGTGGGTCAGTGGGTTCAAGCCTCTGCCTTTGGCTCAGGTTATTATCCCAGGGTCCTGGGATTGAGCCCTGCGTTGGGCTCCCTGCTCAGCGGGGAGCCTGCTTCCCCTGCTCTCTCTCTTCCTGCCTCTCTACCTACTTGTGATCTCCATCTGTCAAATAAATAAATAAAATCTTTAAAAAATAAAAATAAAAAATGGCTAGAGGTACATGGGTGGCTCCATTGTTAAGCGTCTGCCTTCGGCTCAGGTCGTGATCCCAGGGTCCTGGGATTAAGCCCCTCGTCGGGCTCCCTGCTCAGCAGGAAGCCTGCTTCTCCCTCTCCAACTCCCCCTGCTTGTGTTCCCTCTCTTGCGGTCTCTCTCTGTCAAATAAATAAATAAAACCTGTAAAAAATGGTCAAAAGGGTGAATTTTAAGTTATATAATAGAAAAACCCATAAAATAATAAAAACAAGCAACGAAATGGAAATAATCATGCTTGATCCAGAAAAGGAGAATGCCCAAATAAATTTGGTACACACTCAAGGAACTTAACAGGCAGCGAGGCAACTGAAGCCGGAGATATAACAGTGTCAAAAAGTAGGGTACAAAGCTGGAGGCACAACATGACTGGTATCATATGTAAAGACAAGCCCAAATCTATACAAACAGAAAAAGATCACAAGGAAATAGATCAGAATGTTCACACCAGGGATGTTTTGATAGTAGGTTCATAGGTGATGTTTTTCTTTTGCCTACTTTTCTGCACTCAAATTTTCTTTAATGAATATATATTACTTTTAGATTAAAAATTATTTATTATCAGTTAATTACAACAAATAATCAATTCCATGCTCCAAAAAGAAATACCAAGTTTTGCACAATTTCCTTGTGGTTTATTGTTACATAACTATATAGCATTTTCCCCTACCCCAAGAAGAAAAGACTTGAAATGTATTTGTTGACACTTTCTAAGACTTGTTTTTTTTCCTTTCCTTTGCCTTAAAAACTGTGGTTAAAAACACATAATATAGAATATATATCTTAACTACTTCTGAATATATTGTTCATTAGTGCTTAGTATATTCATACTGTTGTGCAACTAACTTCCAGAACTTTTAAACATTCTGTAAGACTCTATAATAGATTGTGAAAAAGCTTTCTGCATTTGTTATTACAATCTCATCTGGACCTGTTAGGTAGATTTACTGCGTCTAGCCTTTTTCTATTTCCTTAAACTTGAGTTTGCTCTCTTTTTTTCTTCTGTTTCCAAACACCTGTCTTTTTAAAAGCCAAAACCCTGAGGTTGGGTGAGAATGGACAGGGCACTCAGGTGCTGGGACAGGGAGTATGAGAGGGTGACACTAGCTGCCTGCCACTTCCACTCAACATGGAGGCTTCGCTTACTCCAAGGTGCCCTTCTGAGGAACAGCCTCTCAGTCATCAGAACTGCTACCGGATCCCAAGAGTCCTCAAGGGTGGGAGGCAGAAATGCCACAGTGCCCCAAAAATCCATTACAGAGCTTCCTGCCTTCACACACACCTTACTCTCTTGTAAACCCATCTGAAGCAACTCAAGGTGAGCTTGAGTGGTTACCACGGTACACCAGAGCAGCCCTAATGCTGGGCGAACCAAAGCCCAGAAGAGGAAAGAGATAAGTGGTGACGTGAACCCAGACCCTCTGGACTCCTACCAAATTCTATCCAAAGTGTCCTATAACATGTGCTGAATGTTAGCTGTAGAACAATCAGTTACTTAGCTCACTGAGAGCCAGTTACTTGAATGGTTCCGATTTATTTACTGAGAGTAAAAAAGGCAGTGGAAAAGGATAAGCTAAGGTCAGGGGGCAGGGCCAAACCTGTGGGAGTCCATTAACTGTGCAACTCTCAAAAGCCAGAATCTCAGGAATGTTAGTACTTGGGGGGAGCTCTGAGAAACACTTCCCCAGGGCTTGACAGGTGTATGGCTCTGAAAGGTGTTCCAGCTTAGAATTTCTAGGCATCATCAACTAAACAGAGAGACAAGAGACCAAGAGGTCTAGGTCCAGCTCGGCACTGAATCCTGGTACAATCGTGTAGCACAGAAACACGGACACTCACTCTGGCCCACAGCACTGGCAACAAGAGAAATAGGAATATTCTGACTCAGGAGATGAGTTAGAGCTCTGAGGAAAAGCTTAACCTCAAATCACCCCAGAGTTCTCCCCCACAGGACACAGGGGCAAAGGATGCATGATCAAAGGGAACTTGGATGAGGGTGAAGACAGAAGGAGGGATGTCCAGGAAAGGTTAGGCTCCTAGTTTCTGGAGATCTCCCCGCGAAGCTAAAGTGGCAAGAGGCGGGAACAGTCACATCTCACAGTGTTTCAACAAAGCCATCAGGTAAGCTGTCAAACCAGGAAGGCCCAGCACCCGCAGGGCTCAGAGAAATCACACACGAGGAGACCATCAGGAGGCACTGGGGCTAAGCTGCGTAAGATACAGTGAGGCAGTTTAACCTCAAGAGCAAGATCCCTCCACAGACTTAGCTCAAGGGGGACCTATGGTTTATCAGGATCAGACAGACCTAACTGCAGTCTTCTGTCACTATCTAGATGAACCTGAGTAAGCCACCCAAACTCTTCCTTCCATCAAAATATACTGGGCACCTACTAAAGTACCAGGCACAGGACTAGGTCCTTGGGATATAATTCTGGAAAAGCAGAGACCCTTCTCTCCTTGTGGAACCTAAAACTACAAGAGAATGACATTAAAAAAATAAACGTTTAGGGGCGCCTGGGTGACTCAGTGGGTTAAAGCCTCTGCCTTCGGCTCAGGTCGTGATCTCAGGGTTCTGGGATCGAGCCCTGCATCGGGCTCTCTGCTCAGCGGGGAGCCTGCTTCCTCCTCTCCCTCTGCCTGCCTCTCTGACTGCTTGTGATCTCTGTCTGTCAAATAAAACAAACAAACAAACAAAACAAAGAACAAAACAATTTAAAAATAAATAAATAAATAAATAAATATTTAGAGAAAATAAGAACTACTTATTAAAAAGGCTAAAATAAGAATTATTTCAAAGACAGTAAAGGGCTAAGAAAGGGGTTCCTAACTAAGCCTACGTCACATGAGGAGGCTTCTTTGAGGGAGTAACATTTGAGGGTGAGAGGTAAAGGGCAGTGGGAGTTAGCGAGAAGAAAGGCAGAAGAGGGAAGAGGCCCTGAGGCAGAAAGGAACCTGGTGTGCTTGAGAAACCGAAAGGAACCTTAGCTAAGGAACAATGACAATTCAAAAGCAGGAGATGCTGGAGACTGGGCCAGGGTGATGGTCTGGGCTAATTAATGGCAACAGAAATCTAGAGAAGTGGACAGACTGGTAATTCTAAATAAACAGCTGAAGACTAAATAAAGTTCTGGTGCTGAGAAAAGTTCTGGATTAGAGGTCTAGACAGTCGTAGAAAAGGAAAAGGGTAATGCCTAGGTGAAGTGTAGAGAAGATGCCTTAGGTCTGCACTCAGGGGAACAATAACATTCAAGGGGAGGACGAATTAGCAGAAGAGACAGAAGGAAAAGCAGGACAGGGAAGCGTCACAAAAGCCAATGATGACTGCTGAGGTCAGAATTAGTGACACAGTCACTAGTGACTTGAGTAAAAGCCATTTCAGAAGAAGGGTTTGAGCTGAGCCAGATTAGAATAGGCTAAGGAGTATGCAGAAAGTGATCAAAAGGGGACAGGAGCTTTCTCTAAGTTTAGCTGTGAAGGACAGGAAATGGGTCAGTTGCTAGAGGAGAAAGTGGGTCAAAGAAAGGTTGATGTTTTTGAAAAAGAATACTTAAAAGGCAAAGAGCCCAACAGAGAGGGAGAAGTTGGAAGTCACGGATAAGAAAGGAAGTTCAAT